GTGGTTATGTCATAACCTTTAGTAGCAATCAAAGCAAATGAAATAAAACAAATAAATATGCGCACTGAGGCGCTATACAAGTTCAGAAACGTCCAAAGTTGACGTTAAAAGGTGCATAAAGTTCAATCAAAATAAATAGGTGGAAATCCGTGATAATGGTGTTGAGATAAATGAGTATAACCAGATAACACAAATCAATGCGCATTTGAGTACATTAGGACCAACTCCTGGTCATCAACATCTGGTAACTGGAACACTGGATCATCTCGTGAGCATCAATTAGTCAGCACACCATCAGGGCATCCAGGCAGCAGGAGTACACTCGTTCAAACACCAGGGGGAACCTCACTTGTAGATAATCAGGGGTCACTACAGATCTCCTTAGAAGGAGGGCTCATACAAAATGAGCCAGAGCAGAAAGCATATCCATATTGCGGTAATTTTTATTAAATATGAACAAATGCACTCGCATTTAAAAGTAGATTTGACAGCAGTAAAAATGGCTGCTGGCCGTCCACGTGGGCCGTGCGGTGTGACGTCACTTGAATAGAGGCAGCTCCCATACATATTTTGTGCGCACGCACGTTATCAAAGCCCCTGTGGAAAAATAAAAATTCTTCCATGAACTCAATATGCCTCTCAGCAGATGGCTTAGGGTGTCTACTTTCCGAAAAGGGGTCATTTGAGTATGTTTGTATTGTCCTGGTATTTTAGCACCTAAAGAAATGGGCAGTCAGGAAGTAAAAGCTGTGAAAACTCCATTATCTATACCATAGTTTGTACACTCTATAACTTTCACACAAAGCAGTCAATATACACTTATTGGGATTTTTTTTTTTACCAAAAACGTAGCAGAATACATTTTGGCGTATATTTGAGGTTTTTTTTTGGATATTTATTATGACAGAAATGAGAAAATATCAGGGGGGGTTTTGTCAATTTTCTGTCCTTTTTTTTTTTTTCGTTTATAGCGCAAAAAATAAAAAGCGCACAGGTGATAAATAGAGATGAGCGAATCGAACTTGGCGAAGTGGAATTCGTTTCGAAGATTAGGAAAAATTCGACTTCGGATGCGCGAATCGAAATTTTCCAAAAATGGCGGCGACATGTGTGGCGACGGAGCGGGGATCTCTGGGAAGGCGCGCAGACAAGGCGCGCTGACCCATAATGCATTCATTCATGACATGTGATCGCATTAGCCAATCAGCAGTCAGCCAGCCAGCACTGTGTAATGGTCGAGCTATAAATTGCGGCCATCTTAGAATTCTCCATTAGCCTCCGGTCATTCAACAGAGACAGACCTCTCTGTATTAGGGACAGAGTTAGGGCCAAAGAGACTTTAGGGCCACAGAATCGTTACTCGGGGACACAGAATTGTTACTCGGGGACACAGAATTGTTACTCGGGGACACAGAATTGTTACTCGGGGACACAGAACTGTTACTGAGGGACACAGAACTGTTACTCGAGGGACACAGAACTGTTACTCGGGGACACAGAACTGTTACTCGGGGACACAGAACTGTTACTCGGGGACACAGAACTGTTACTCGGGGACACAGAACTGTTACTCGGGGACACAGAACTGTTACTCGGGGACACACACAGAACTGTTACTGAGGGACACACACAGAACTGTTACTGAGGGACACACACAGAACTGTTACTGAGGGACACACACAGAACTGTTACTGAGGGACACACACAGAACTGTTACTGAGGGACACACACAGAACTGTTACTGAGGGACACACACAGAACTGTTACTGAGGGACACACACAGAACTGTTACTGAGGGACACACACAGAACTGTTACTGAGGGACACACACAGAACTGTTACTGAGGGACACACACAGAACTGTTACTGAGGGACACACACAGAACTGTTACTGAGGGACACACACAGAACTGTTACTGAGGGACACACACAGAACTGTTACTGAGGGACACACACAGAACTGTTACTGAGGGACACACACAGAACTGTTACTGAGGGACAGACACAGAACTGTTACTGAGGGACAGACACAGAACTGTTACTGAGGGACAGACACAGAACTGTTACTGAGGGACAGACACAGAACTGTTACTGAGGGACAGACACAGAATCGTTGAATTAAAGAGTATGTCAGACAACACGCAGAGGAGTGGCAGAGGAGGCAATGTTTCAGGAGCGAGCAGACGTGGCAGCAGAGGAAGGGGTCGAGGCAGCACTAGTCGCAGCCAGAGGCCAGTGCTCCCGGTGTCATCCAGCGGTCGTGTCTCCACCGACAACCCTGCCGTCATCGATTGGTTGGCTTGGTCGTCTTCCTCTTCCCAGGTCACCTCTGACACCTACAGCCAATGGTCGGTGGGTACGTCAGACACAACCGTTAGTTGGCATGGCCCGGGAGCAAGCCCACTGAAATCACGTGTCCTCTACCTGCCCCTGTCCTTTGGTGTTCCCTCACCAAGCGAAGTATCGCATGCTGTGGGCTCAGCCCCACTGTACAGTGAGGAAGAGCTAACAGAGGGCGGTCAGGAACGGGGGGAGACATCCGCCTCTTCAGCAGCCAGGCGAAGAAGTACTGGCGAGGAGAGTGGCTCGGTAGCCGGTCTAGAGACAGGTCTGTCTCCTGACCCACACGCAGCCAAGGGGGCTAGTAGTGAGGCGGAGACCCTAATTGATGATGATGAGGCTGATCGCACTTGGCAGCCTCGTCGTCATCAGGCTATTGCTTCCGCATCATCAGGAGAAGAGGGTGCCAGCTTGGCAGCGAGCAAAACAGTCGGTGGGTTGCCCAGGAGACAGCAGGGTCGCAGCAGTGTCAGTGGAGGCAAACGGCCACGGAGTAGAGCACCAGCTCCACTGCAGCCTACCACCACGGCCAGTAGTGGTGCCGGTGTGCACGGAGGAAGTAGCAGTCAGCCAGTGAGGAGTAGCGGGGGCAAAGTTTCCTACTCGGCGGTGTGGCAACTTTTCGTCAAGCCGCCCGAGGAAGTAAACGTAGCCGTATGTCGACTATGTGGCCAGAAAGTCAAGCGTGGCCAGGGGGCCCATGTCTCCATCGCCACACTCTGCCATGTGCCACTTTCAGGTCTCCTCACACTGCTGGTGGGTTCCATTTTGTCATAGGGTGCTGGCAGATTACGGGCCTCCCATTGCTGCTGCCAGGCCCGTAATCTGCCATGGGCCCCTGTACCGCCTCCTCATGCTGCTGCCAGGTCCAGAGTGTGTCATGGGTCCCTGTACGGCCTCCCATTGCTGCTGTCTCCATCGCCACACTCTGCCATGTGCCACTTTCAGGTCTCCTCACACTGCTGGTGGGTTCCATTTTGTCATAGGGTGCTGGCAGATTACGGGCCTCCCATTGCTGCTGCCAGGCCCGTAATCTGCCATGGGCCCCCGTACCGACTCCTCATGCTGCTGCCAGGCCCGTAATCTGCCATGGGCCACCGTACCGCCTCCTCCTGCTGCTGCCAGGTCCAGAGTGTCTCATGGGTCCCTGTACGGCCTCCCATTGCTGCTGTCTCCATCGCCACACTGTCCCATGTGCCACTTTCAGGTCTCCTCACACTGATGGTGGGTTCCATTTTGTCATAGGGTGCTGGCAGATTACGGGCCTCCCATTGCTGCTGCCAGGCCCGTAATCTGCCATGGGCCCCCGTACCGCCTCCTCATGCTGCCGCCAGGTCCAGAGTGTCTCATGGGTCCCTGTACGGCCTCCCATTGCTGCTGTCTCCATCGCCACACTCTGCCATGTGCCACTTTCAGGTCTCCTCACACTGCTGGTGGGTTCCATTTTGTCATAGGGTGCTGTATGGCCTCCCATTGCTGCTGCCTCCACCGCCACACTGTGGCTCCACACTCTGGTTTTGGCCCCGTGACTGCCCAAATGAGTGAAGTGTGCGGTGATTCTAAGATCGACGGCACTCATCTGCATGTCATACTGACTGACAGTATTATTTCTCTTCCCCAGCAGACTCCAAGGGCATTTAAATTAAAGGTACAGTGTTCTGCACTAATATAAAGGCTCTCTGAAGCCTAGAAACACCCTTTTTATAAGTTAAATTCGCAGCGAATATATTCGACTCGAATCGAATTTATTCCGCGAATCGGCCGAATCGAATTTTTGAATACTTCGCTCATCTCTAGTGATAAAATACCACCAAAAGAACGCTCTATTTGTGTGGGGGGAAACAAAGGATGTAAATTTTGTTTGGGTACAGCCTTGTATGACCGCGCAATTACCAGTTGAATTAGTGCAGTGCCAAATAGCAAAAAGAGGCCTAGTCAGGAAGCAGGGTAAATCCTCAGGATGGCAAGTGGTTAATCTAAACGATCTTGAAGTTTGCAAACTTACTTTTCTCGGAATCCTACACATTTTCTTGCATTCTGTGATGTGTATTCAGTATATCCTGTGAGTAGACACTTTGTCACACATTTCACAGAGCCTGCCTTCTGAACTATAGAGGTGCTGAGATGAGGGGTTTCAGAAGGCAGAGTCGGTACAGGAATCACTGTTTGTAGGCAGCAAGGTACCATGATACAGTATTTAGTCATTAGAAACTGAAGTTAACCGCAGATGAGAAGCTGAAAAGCATTTAGAGAATGCACAAAGTTGTGGAAGGAGTTAGCCAGCAGACAGGCAACACTCACAACATGAAAATAGATTTTATAAGTGAGCTTGTTGGATTGTCAAAAAATGACTATCATTTGTATTGCTATTACAATGCTGTTAAAACAAACAAAAAATATTATATGGCTATAGAACTCTAACATTTTTATCAAGGTTACAGCACCCTTTCTATACTGTATATCTGGTGGTGTGGTGATTACTATGAACGGTAAAGATGCTGATTATCTCATTTTGTTCTCATTTTGCTATTTGAGTAATGGGTGTGACAGGAATGTGTGGTTGGCAAAATTACAATATGTGTAATATATTTTTTTTTTTTTTTCAATCAAATGTATTATTTTGGTGTTTGAACAAAGCTACCAAGCTTTAATGCTCCATTATGAAACTTTTTTTTTTTTTTCTTTTGTCTTATAGAGGGGAATACCAATTGGACAGTTTTTGTAAAGAGTTTAATGAGAAGACGAAAGACATCATTGAAGGAGTCCCTTTGCGTGTAAAGGTTTTAGTTAATGTAAATATTTTTTTACATACATTCCATTACTTTGCTATCCATGTATCCTATACATTTGTTTTACACTATATGATTTCTAACTACTGTGCAAAAGATGCAGACCTTTAGTTTCAACATTCAAATGTATGTATACTTTCTATTACAGCTGACAGCTTTTCATTCTCAATGAACTAGGAGGGCACTGGTGGGTGCTCTGGTAATTAATTGATCTTCCTGTTCTCAGATAACTGCCTGCCCGTACGAGGTAGGGGCAAACAGCTATGCTGAGAGTGTGTGGGAACCTGAGATTGCACCAGTGATCCTGCAGGCTCCTTCGAAAAATAATAAATGCACGTTTTGTTTTTGTTTTTTGTATACCTGCAAACCTTTTTACCCTTTTGAAAGAAAGGGGGAAAAAAAGTGAACTTATTCTTTAAAGGCTTCTATAAATTTTGCTTTTAACATAACTTTCATTTTCACTACATTGTACTGGTTTAAGAAACTTTTGTATGGATGTTTTTTTTTTTTTTTTTTCTTAGCCTGATAGAACATACCAAATGCAGATTGGGTTGCCACCTACATCTTACTTCCTCAAAGCTGCTGCTGGCATTGAAAAAGGTGCTGCACAGACAGGTATGTAATGACTGCAAATCTATAGCAATTATAAATAGGGATCCACCAACATTTCGGCCAATGAAACATATCAGCCGAAAATAGCTCTATGGTATTATGCCGATAGGAAAAATTTTAGCCGCCTCAAGTGCCAATACAGGGGACTGTGTGTACTGCAGATGTGAGAAGGGGGGGGGGTGGGGGCAGAGAAAGGCAGGAGAGGAGCAGTGTATACAGTGACTGGCTGTCACTATGGGGTTTATTTACTAAAGCTGGAGAGTCCAAAATCAGACTCCCTTCTGTATAGAAACCAATCAGCTTCCAGGTTTCATTGCCAAAGCTTCATTGAACAAGCTGAGGTTAGAAGCTGATTGGTTTCTATGCAGAAGGGAGTCTGATTTTGGACTCTCCAGCTTTAGTAAATAAACCCCTATAGGTCAGTGCCAGTATTTAAATGTAATTGCTGGGGTTTTTTTTTCTTCACTATAGCTCAGAGCATCAGCTGTCACTTTCCCCAGCTAAAAGATACTAAGTTTCTTTTTAGTTTCTTTCCGGAGCTAAAATGGTGAAGAAAAAAAAAGCCAGCAATTGCATTTAAAAACTGGCACTGACATAGTGACAGCCAGTGAGAGAGCCTCTCTGTATACACTGCTCCTCTCCTGCCCCCTCCTTGCACACACTGCCCCCCATCCCCCCTACAAAGATGGCCTGTCACTCATATGCTATCACATAGGGGACTATTACATGCATCTGGAATTTTTTGTTATCGGTTTCGGCACAAGAATTTTCATTTCGGTGCACCACTAATTGTAAATGTACATTAACTTGAGCCAGGAAGAGGGGAGTCGAAGATGATTTTGGTAAGGTTACTTCATATAGGATATTTTTTTTCCCCCTAGAGAGTAGAGAAATGTGATATCTGGAATCTTGTGGAATGAGGCTCAGTCCAGAGCTCTTACGTGCATTTTTCCAGATACTATCCTTTGCATTTGGCCTCCTAGGTGGACTGGCCTGCTGCAAGTCTCTCCTTTTTGGTAGGCCTCTGGGTTTGTGAACCCTTCCCCTGGACTAGTCTGCTTTTAAGGCAGCGAAGGGATGTCGTTATTTGGGTGAAGTGGAAACTCTTTTACAGCTCAGTACCTTGGCCAGGCTAAGGACTGGTACAGCTGTTGGGAATAATGGCAGTCCTGGTCTTCATTTCAGCACATGTTCCAAGTTTAAATGCTATTATTCTGTATGGCCATTAAACAATTTGAACTCTTATAGCTTACACAGGCAATAAGTTAATAAAGAGAAAATCTGTAGCAAGAGAGAAAAGGTTGCATTGGTCTTGAAAGACTAGACTGCTAGATATCACAATTGTTGATACTGAGGGTATTGGTCTGCTTTCTTGTAAAGTAGCTTCAGTTTTCGTTAGAGGGTGGGTCTGCAGAATCCCATTGACATTTATGTGAGAAATGCACACGACTGGTCAGGGACCAGGGCCAGGCGTTGTGCTACATTTCAATGGAAAGCACAGTATTTGACTAAAAACACCTGTCAATGCAAACAAACCCTTTGATTTCCAATCCTGTGAAATGTATTAGAGTGAGAGTTATTACCCTAGGGAGGATTAGATAGGCCGGTCTATTATTGCTGTGTGTCATCCTAACTTTCTGTCTTGGTGTTAGCATGTCACAAGGATGGGAAACTAAGATAAATCTTTCCAGTTGAACAGAGAGCAGAAAATACCCTTTCAGTGAAAATTGAAATTAGGAAGTTTGCCAGGTTTTTATTGCGGTCTGTCTTCCTGTTCCACTGATGCCTGATTCCCATATTTCGTGTCCTAGCATCATAGGGACAGTGAGAAGTCTCTGAAGTGTGGAAGCAGAAGGCTGTTCTAGAGAGTCTGACTCTTCCCGTTCTATCTAAAACAAATGTTTTACTGTCATTTTAATCAACACCAGCTTGTCCATATTTGATAGTGCACTGGCTGCCTGGTGTTTTAGAGAACGGGTAGGACTTCTCCAAGCTGTTGACTATATATATATATATATATATATAATATATATATATATATATATATATATATATATATATATATATATATATATATATATAAATTTCTCATCCATTGAAGGACAACATTATGGTAATAAGAAATCAAGGGTTATACATGCATCTTGCAGGGGAAATGGACACAAGGCACATAAAATCTGAAGGCCTGTTCCCTGGAGGCTGTGACCTCTCACACCTGCTCAATTTTGCTTAGTCCTCATGAGGCTGGATGTGCTTTCTTCAGCTCTGCTGTTTTCTGTTCATTTTTGGAAGATTTTGCAACTATTGACAACTACAGGTGGATTCATGCTGGATTGGAAATAATACTGCAGTATACTCCTTATTTGTGTATTATCATAAAGAAGTGTACCACAGTGGTTTCAGAGAAGCATTTTACAGTTAGTGCAAAAGTCTAATTATTTTCCCCTCCTGTGTCAATAGGTCATGAAGTTGCAGGAATGGTGACCTTGAAGCAGTTATATGAAATAGCACTGGTGAAATCTAAAGATGAATCGTTTGTTCTCCGGGATGTACCATTGGTGGAAGTGGTAAAGTGTCTCCATGGCAGTGCCAAATCACTGGGAATCAAAGTTGTCAGGGAGTAAGTATGTGATCTAGAAACATATAATGAAGAGGTAGATGTTTTTTGTTTTTTTTTTGTTTTTTTTTTTTTTTTTTTTTATGCATTGTACACCTGCACAGCTAGCAACATAACATAATGGCATGCACGTTTCCTATACAAATTAAATATGCTAGTAGCCAGCTAGTTTATCACAGTATGAAAAATGCAATCATAAAAAGAAAAAATTAGAAATAGCAGGAATGAATGTCACATATGGTCATGCTTAGGGTGCTTTCACACTGATGCGGTGCAGTTTTCCCATACTGTATGTACAGCACAATGTGCAGTGTTACCTGTGATTTGCCATAGACTTCTATTGCATTGGGTTGTTTTTCTGCGATGGAAGTCTATGGCAAATTGCCGGTAACCCGTGTGAAAACTGTACTGCATCAGTGTCAAAGAGGCCTTAACCTAAAAGTATATTTCTTTCTCAATGCAGCACAGGGATTTTATCTACTCCAAGGTTGTTTTTAAGAAATATATCTTTTTAATACATGGCTGCATTTTAACACCTGCCCAGAGTTCATATTAAATCATACTGTAAATTATCCCTCATGTATGTTGCTGTATGCATCCTGACATCATGAATTTGGTAGGATTCTTCATAATCCCTGTAAGCAGACTGTGTGATTCATCCAGGTTGTGGCTTTTGCATTTGGCACCCTGGCATGACTTAAAAACTGACCAGACATCAGTACTATATTGTCACAAAAAAGAAAACAGGCAAATGATCAGAAAAGCAGAGTTCAGGTGCAATCATATTACAGGCAGACAGTCTGTGCATATTTGTCAGGAGAGACCTACAAGGCCTATCGTCACGAAACACCTTCTGAAAATACTAGAGAGCAGTGTCTGGCTTCAGTCCTTTCTGGTCATAGTCACGAAACCGTTGCAGCAACAGAAGTTGGAATCCCATATCTCTGTACTTGTTCAATGTCATTGACCCGAAGCTGTGAAACCAAAAATCTGACCATGGCAGCCATGCAAGTAGCATTTAAGGAGATGTCGGCAATTTTAACCTATATTTTGAACATGAGAGGTTTGCTTTAAAGCATTCAGAAGGTAGACCTATCGGATATTAGGCAGGCAGACAGGCTAAACACAGGCTTGTTTAGTCATCGCTTACGGAGCAGTATACAGAAGCTAACAAAGACTAACAGAAAACCTTTTGCTTAGGCACTATTGCAGATCATTTTGCATTAATTGTTTAATCTACTCTCAGGTGATGTCTCAGGTATGCAGGCATGCCAGTGTGTTGCATTACTGTTTATTAGTAAGTGAAATGGGCAGGCATATGACTCTTACCAGGTGCAGCAGGCACAAAAGAGGAAGGACCCTGGTGTTGAGCCAGCTGCCACAGGGAAGAACTGATGTACTACCCTTCTAAAGGATTCTGCTCCTAGTTTGTCCAAGCTGTGTAATTAAAACTTACTGATCTGTGGATGTTGCTAGAAGACAAAATATTTCTTTAGTCCCTTCCAGGCTATCAGTTATTATATATTTTTATTGTTCTTTCATTGTAGGACACCGCTAGATCAGTCGATCATAACCAATGGGTATTGCGCTTCCTGCAGCAGTAGGATGCTAGGTACAAGGAAAAGATTAAAACACACCCTAGGAGTGGCACCTACCGGTGGCCATTATCCCCATATGCAACAAACATCTCAGTTTGTTTTTTTCTTGGGGTTTTGCCTAGTGCTTAGGAAGTAGGACCTATAAATGTGTCTGCTTCTTTTTCTTTTTTTTTTTTTTTTTTTTTTTTTTTTTTTTTTTTTTTTTAGTTCCTGTTGATGGATTTTTGTCTCCAGGTAACTGTGGTGTTGGGTGAGAGGCCAGATCCTGATAGTCTCCCAGCACTGCCTCCGAGGGTATGCAATTCCCTACCTCTGCAGGACCAGCTGCCACTACTCTGTAGCGAAGGGGTCTGAAGTGTTTTGTACACTCGGCAGATGTGTATCGTGTATGTACAATGGATCGGCCCTGTCTGTTTCGCTGTGGTATCATAGCTGGGCCAACAATTCCCAGGCCAACATCAGAGGTGTTTGCATCACCTTGCCTTTGGATGACCTGCTGTGGGACTAGATTCAAGGTGGCATGCTGCGGTCTGTGAGTGATCTCCCTGGGGGTTTTCCCTTGCCCTGTGGCTGTCCTTTCCTGGATCCCTTGGGTGTGTGCAGGTGGTCATCAGTATTGAGAAATATCTCATCATCCCCACCACCTAACAACCACCCCTTAGATCTAAATTTTTAGCATCCCACGGGTGGTAAAAGCACCTTCTTTCCACTGTCCAAGACATTGTAATTTAACTGCAGGACTAGCCCCTCTTCTCTGTGCATAAATTCATTTTCATGTCCAAAGAAAAGGCCTATCTATAAAGACTACTTCTTCTCCAGGATTCATGCGTCCCTGGCAAACCATTTTCCAAGTCCAAAAAAAGACTACTTCTATATGAAGGTGCGCCCCCATCACATTAACTCAAGGGGGGGGGGGTATTTCTTCTATCCATTGCAATCCTTTGTTTCAGACAAATAGGTTCTAATGGTAGTCTTTTCAGGCTACAAGATAGAGTTCCAGTCTTTCCCTCTGGGACCATCTTTTCTTCAAACTTGTAGCCTTTCCACCATGTTTCAAGCCTGGGTGTCTACATCTTTATTTATTACTGTACCTGAAAGGCCCTTTATCACCTAGTGCGAAAAGCTTGTTTTTTTTTTTTTTTTCTTCTCGCAGGTTTTTCACTGCTTCTCTTTTAGCCTTCCTCCATTTGGGAGTGGACCGATAGATGGCCCTCCTTCCTTCTGCCCTATCTGTGCTCTTCCAATGTCCCTTAATCTCTTTCACAGAGTGTTTTGAACTGGCTGCTCTTTAGTTTAAGCAGCCATTTTTGGTTCATTATAGGTATAAGGTAGATTGTGAGGAACTGTCTCTGTGTGATAACATTTTGCCCTTTCTGTTCTGGTTTTATCCCCTTTGTAAAGCAGTATATGTTTCACAGACATTCTACACTGTTTGTTTAGGGAAATGTGACCTTTGTAGTCACTTTCACTTCTAATAGAGTTCATACTGTATTGTTGGTTGTTGGGTTTGTTGTGGGTGGGGAAAACCCAGTGCCAGGCTGTTGGTGAAGTTGTATATACTGAGCTGTGTTTAATAAAGAGTCATTCATTTTCACCCTACACGAAGTTCCGACTCGTGGTTTGGGAGAGCAGGAAAGGGAGTGGTTTAAGCTATAATACCTGCCTTGGGAGAGTGCTGGAAGACTTGCTGGAAAAGGGGACCATTGGGTGAGATGCACTGCTCCGCACGAGGAAGCCCAGGCGGAACGGTTCCGCCACATCTTGTAGATCTTCTGTTGTTGTTCTTGCTGAAGTTTTGTTGTTTCCTTTAAATGAGGACATTATCTTGCATTCTATTCTAATCCTAATCCTAGTCCTAATCCTTCCCATCCTAAAGAAGTGGCATTTTGTTGTTTGGCTTGGGCTGTTAGTTTGCTTAAATTCTAGTACCTCCACAGATGGTCCTAGAAAGAAACAAGTGGCCTCGCGGTCTGCTGTCTCTTGGTGAACTAGTAGTCAGACTGTTGTTCAGGCCTTCTCTATATCTGGGTAGGTACCTCTGTCCCCATTACTACTTTTTTTTTTTTTTTTTACCAGGACTTGGAGTGCTTTCTGGGCTTTTCATCACTTTTGCCTCTTTCTCAGGTTTGCACAGTGGATAGCGTACCCAGCATGCAGGTGGCACTATACCCTTTGTTAATTTTTTGGTTGTCGCCCAAACAGGAGGTATGAAGAAATTTTCCAGTGAGGACACAATGGGTGGTCATGGTCTAAGTGGGAATATTCCACTCACTTTCTGTTGTGCTCTTAAAAAGGAACTTCAGGAAGTTTTTATTTTTTAATACAAACAAGTCATCTGCTACAAATACAGTCCTGCGTTGTCTTTACTGTAGTTGTTTCTTGGGCGGTCTTAAACTAGCCATCACTGCTATCTAGGACTGAGTAGCCAGCTGTGACATCCTTTTCTCACAGCTGATACCCCACTGACTTCCTGGGTAAAAGTCTGCTTTAACGAGGCAGGAGAGGAGAAATCTGAACTGACATCAACATTAATAAAGAGGTTTTAAATATTCCTATTCTAAAAAAAAAAGGTTTTCAAGAACTGTGCTTTAACCAGTTTTTAATACAGTGGGTGTACTCTTGAGGGTGTTTTTAAAATGTCCTGTCACGCTCGGGCATACCCTATGATCACATGAAAACAAATGGGGGTACAGAGCCAATGAAACGGTGTTCCTGATTGTTGCTACACCAGTGCCAGTACAGCCAATGTCACTAGAGCCAGTACAACACCCATCAGCAGGTTCCCTGATTGTTGCCACATCAGTACAGTATCACCAAAGCCAGTGCAGCCAGCAACAGTGTTCCTGATCATTGCCACAACAGTGCAGTGCCTCTGGTCTGTTTGACTACATTTCTGCCTGCTGTATAGACCAATGCTTTGTCTGTTTATTGACCACATCTCAGTCTGCTGCCTGACCTGAACCATGTGAATGACATACTGACTACATTCCTGTGAGACACCAGTTCCAGCCACCTAACAGGAACTCTTTTGTTCCCCTCCTGTAGTTCCTGGCCAGTGAACATGGCATTCCTTGGGGGTAGCCATGTTCCAGTAAGTTAGGTTTGCTTGGTTCATAGAAACAGGGACTGCTGTAGGTGCCGCTGTACTACGCTGTATTCCCTTACCGCATGTACAGAGATGAGCATGACAGTACACGGTTTTTGATAGAATATTTGTTAAAGTGTTACTAAACCCAGGATGCTGCATTCACTATATCTGGTCTCCCACAGTCCACACACCATGGAAATGCAATTATTTTAGTAAATATAAACTGCTAAATACCTTTTCTCATCAGCAGTTAGAGCAGTCTTGTGACTTCTATCTGTGTCCAGCCCACCACTAGCTAAAGCTTGTAGGAGGAGTCTTCTT